TTGAGCATGCCCGAGGGACACTTCAAAATGTTGCGAACACAAGGCTATCCTTTCCGACTGCTGCCGCAAACATCTTTTTTCTTTTTTTTTTTTTTTTTTGTAGAGGTTTCATTTGAAAACCACTCCTGTCAGCTTTTGGATTGCCATCTGGAACGTGTGCGCCGTAAGCCCCGTCTGTCCCCGGAGTCTTTCCGCTTTGCTAAAGTGAAGCAATGGGCGCGGTGGGGAGGGGTGTGTTTCGGAGGGAAACGGGGGTGATGAAGGTCACTTTGATGTGCCAATAAAGATCCACAGCGGGCCGGTGGAAGGAGATGAAAAGAGGTCGAGCAGACGTAAAATGGATCCTGGTGGAGGAGTAGAAGAGTTGCGTCCTCTCATCTCTCCCACAGCACACAGTGGATAATGATGCTGCATCATAAACCGAAGGTGGCTGGGGAATAAAGCGGGCGTCTTGCAATTAAAGCAAGCAAACAACATTCTCTGACAGCAGAAGAAACCCACAGCCTAACTGAGCACCGGAATCAAGCAAAATCAACACAGTTGCATCTATGCTGATCAGATATGGGACAAAATGACCCCGCTATCAAAAATTGTCACAGCTCTGCTAATATGGTGCCCTTTTTTTTCAATGGCATCTTGTTTTTCGTTTATTTTGTATCATTTGCCAAGATGCTGCTGAATTCAACAATGGGTTTACTCTGACTTTCACACACAGCTTCCGGAGCCTGAGTGCTTCCCTCGTGCAGTTGCCTGCCCCAGCAGGCCCGCCTGGGCATAGCAAATGAATACGTAGACAGACAGACAGTTAGTTTGACTTTTTTCTTTTTTTTTCTTCTTTTTACTGCAAGCAGCTTGTTCAGGAGGAGGAGCTGCATGACATCCAGATGTTTCCATCCAAGCTGGCCAGCCTCACACCGCAACACATGCTGGACCACTCCTTGTAATGGTTACCTTGGTTTGACCGTACAGCAGCAAGAAATAGCAAAAGTGGCGACGAGGTCCCTGCTATTTTGGAGAAAACGGGTTGCAAGACTGTGACTGTGCATTCACATGCAAATGGGCCTTTGAGATTGAGATCAGATGAAATTTTTATAATGCCACAATCTGGGTCAGCGGAGGTAAAACTACACCAAATGTTGTTGACTTGCAGACGCCTCAGTCTTCGTTTCACGCCGCTGTAATAAAAAGAAATGGGAAGAAGTTTGGCACTGAGGCACAACACCATTTCAAAGGTGATTGCAAATCTCCAAACTTGCTGGACTTACTGTTCTCTTGGCCCCTTCCTCTTTCTCTTAAAACGCTGATAGGGGCAAATCTCAATTGAATCTTTGATGAGCAGGAGTTAAGAAGCACTCAAAAACACTTCAACCTTGAGCGCGCTGACTGGCAAAATGGTCTGATGATTGTTGTAGTGGGTGGCCTGCTAAAGCTGAGAAAGTGAACTGTATAGGTGGGGGTGTTATCAGTCATGCTGTCAGATTCCAGGCCAACTTTGAGATGAGACACAGCATGGCATCTTGCGTTCTGCTCTCTTTCATGGGCAAGGACACGTGTGCTTAGGTGCATCTGGCCACTTGTCCCAAGACTTTTGCCGATGTTCGATAGCTCAGCCCTCACTGACAATGATTTCTTCCCCTGGTGAAATCTTTCTGGACTTCAAAAAAACATTTGTGGATGGACTCGATTAGAGTATCAGCTGTCCTTGTTAGGATCCACACAAAATATTTCTTCAAACAACCCCCACCCCCACCCCCAAGTCCTCCCATGGACTGTTGCCCTCCATTAGCCAAGCATTGACCTAATGTTAGGGCAGAGCACATGGGGGGAGGGGGGGGTGTTGACAAATGGGCGCGAGGGGTATCACATGACCCCTGAGGAATGAGAGTGGGGGTAGTTGTGGTCGAACAGGGTTGCATGGAGCTTTAACACTGTCTTACTCTTTATCTCTTTATCAGTGCAAGAGGTCAGTGCTGAGGTTAGGGCTCCCACCCTACCCAGCGCCAACTCCATTTTAGTTTATATGTTTGAAGTTGAAGTCAAAACATCAGTCCAAATGATTCATTGCTCGATGCCCAGCATACGCCACCAGAAGGCCCAGATAAGACAATCTGAGTGACATTTGACAGCTCCCTCGGGCCGGAGGTGGTCTTAAAAGTGACTGACATGCTGCAAGAAGTTGATGGCAAAGTCACCCATTGGGTTGGGGGTGGGAGTGGAGTTAACACACACACACACACACACACACACACACACACACACACACACACACACACACACGCAGTTGTCATGGAACCTTCAGTCAAGGGCACTGAATTCTTTTTATTCCTGCATGGAAGTTCTTGCTGGATGTGCTGTCTTCAAAAAAGAAGTGTGAAACTTGAAAACTGTTGCTCTTCTTCTGTCTTTCTTCCTCTGGTTCAAACAATCTTTTCCCAGACACTGGTCTTCCTCTAACTGTGCTGGATATTTTGACGGTGGACGAGTGGTTAGCGAATTAGTTGGGTCCGTACTGCTTATTTGTGAGACGGTTTTCTATTTTGACAATCATGTGCTTGATATTGAGGTTAATGTCTATGTTCAATAACTTTATCCACTCCCATGACACAGTATTAAGCTTTGTGTCATTTGGATGATTACCGTGTGATCATATTGTTGTTAGGTTTTTTTTTCTGAATGTTTAAACCTTTTTGTAACTCAGTTTCCAAAACTATTAATATCTACCACAAAAGCACTCGCAGAGTTTGCAAAACTAAAAGCACGAATGCTGCATTGCACTGAGTTTGTCATTTTTGGAACACCCAACTCACTGCTATCCATTCAATTTCCAAATGATGACAACCCACTCCTTGCAAAACTAGACACATTTATGGCTACAATTTACATTATTCAGCCAACTGTCTGGCCACAATGTCAGAAGAGAAAAGTGTTTGAGAGAATTAGTTGGCTTTGCAATTAGTCTGTGCACTATAAATATGGAACAGGCAACGTGATCAAAATCTGGTGGCTGGACCAAAACTTGCATTTATAATTTTTTTTGCTCAGACTCGACTGAATTATTGCTTGACAATGAGTATGAAAATTTGTGTCCAATCTGGTCTGGGTTCACGTTACTCAGCACAGTGAAAGCTGATTACGTCTGCCTCACAGTTCAGAGTGTCAAATATGAATTCTTGAGCTTGTCCTCATTCAGGTTGTGGATGAGAAAACCAACGCAAACATGGGGTGGTTTTCTCTGGGATGTTAGGCTCCTTGAAGACTCACCAGCAGTCCAGGATGTATGCCACCCACTGGCTCAAGGTCATCTGGAATAGGCTCCAGCTCACCCACAACCTGAATGAGGACAAGCTCGATGCTCAAGAGAAAATAAATGGACGGATTTTAACATTCGTAACAGTCACATATGTGACATCTAAAAATAGTGTTTTTGACCACAACAATTGCTTTCAACACAACTGAGTGGTGAGACTTTTCATCAATATCTTTCATGGAATCGCTCTCCCAGTGTTAGACCTGTGAAACCACCTCTGAAGCTGGCAAATTTGTCCGTCAACATTCTGCGTTCGAAAAAAAAGAGGCACAGGCGGAAGATGGAAGATTTACGTTTTTTTTTTTTTTTTCAAAAATGTGAGAGGGGATAAAGTTGGAGAGGTGCATAGATGTCATACATGTGAAAAAGAAGAAGGACTGTAAAAAAATGAAAAAAAACAGTAAAAAAATAGATATATTAAAATCTCACCTGACTTTTATAGCAAGTGAAATTTATTGCTGTGAATGTGAGTCGGCTCGCTTGACAGAATGTACACGCATTTCCTCTCTTTTATTGTACCTTTATTATCCCTCATGGTGGAAACTTCTAATCTATGGTCATGTGTGGTGCAAAGAACCCAGAAAAAGTCAATGCAAAAGCAAAGCACTCAACAAGTTCATCTTTCCAGGCAAGATGAAGTTAGGTCTTGTAAATTACAACATTTTGTGTGTCATCATGCATGACAACAATTCGGAATGAAGTTTTGTGGGAAGAGGCGTATTTTTCCGGAATGTTTTTTTTCTGCGATGACTCGTCCGACCGCAGTGGCGTTGGACTTCCTTGGTATGCCTGGGCGCATTCAAAATCCGCAATGTTTCACCGCCTCCCAAAGCTTCCCGTGTGCCCGACTCTTTTGAGAATGCACCTATTGCCAACTCAAATAAAGATGCCAATGAGGCCTCATGATGTCGAGCCCTTCTATTACATAGTAACTCAAGCCATGGGCAGGGCACATGGGTAGGACTTTCTCAGCAGATTATTTTGGGATCGCTAGTGTGTCATTAGCCTGCCGCCACTGTGAATTTAGTCCCACTGATTGCAGGGCAAAACCTGGGCCGGGCTGAGGTGGGCTCCGCTACCCGAATGGATCAAGGTCTATCACAATGGCGAGGTTGTTTCATGTGTTCTGTGGTGAAAGGCCACCACGTGCCATTTGTTTTGCACCCCACCCTTTTGCACAGATACTGTAGTACCACAGCCCTCACTCTTTTCCCTGGCTCTTTCTTGGACGGTCTCCCCCTCCCGCTCTTTGCAAACAGCCTTGGGAGGTGTTTGCTTTATGGGACGGTGTCTTATCTGTGTGGAGCGCTTCCTATCTCTACTCTGATCGTCTCACGGTTGTCGGTGTGAGGGGACTGAGGGCGCGTGCACGTTCTGCCCCAGCCCCCGGTAGCCCGCCTTTCCTCTCTCTTTCTCTCTCCCCTGAATTCGGCAATCGCTCGGAGGGGGCGGGGCCAAGGCGCGGTGACTGTAATGCGATAGCTGCAGGGCTCAAAAGCAAGACGCCCCTCTCTCTCTCTCTCTCTCTCTCTCTCTCTCTCTCTCTCTCTCTCTCTCTCTCTCTCTCTCACTCCCCCACATTCTAAATTCTCCCTAGCTGTGAGTGTGAGTGTGGATGGTTGTTCGTCTGTGTGTGTCCTGTGAATGGCTGGCAACCAGTTCTCTCTCTCTCTCCCTCTCTCCCTCTCACCCTTCCACATTCAGACACACACAACTGTTACGCACAGAGGGCGCATGCTGGGTACAGTGCAGATCTCAGATTGAGCTACTCGTGGAAAGGTGCACACATTCTCCTCCGTGCTCTCCACTCAAGTGTGACACTGCCGTGGACCTGTCCACTTCACGAGAGGCAAACCCCCGTGTGCGTAAATCACGCGTGGACCAGAAGAGAGGCGCACCCCGGAGCCGGACTGCAACATTCCACGGATCCTTCTGACTCCCTTACGACGGAGTCAGCCCCCTTTTTGGGTGACTTTAACATCTCCTTGAATGTGAATGTTCTGCCAGTACATGGCATGAGGCAAATTAAAGACGTTTTTATTTCGTTGTATGACATGTAGTTGTCACCTTGCTTAATCGACGGTGACTGAATGCGCGCCGTGGGACTATTGAACTCATTCCCGTTTCTTCACGAAGGGATGTGGAGCACATTTTAACTTCTACGAGTGGAAAGATTGGAAAATTGACACCGGGCTACTGCGTCTTCCAAGATGGATTTCGTGTGCTCGCTGTTTGGATGGTTATTGGCACTGTGTCATGTGGTGCTGCAGATCAGAGGAGAAAACGGTAAGTTTTTCAAACATAGTCTGTGTGCAACATCTCGTAGAACCTGAGTCTGGCTTGATAGATTCAAAAAGTTCCATCAACCCAAGTTCCCACTGCAGTATTTCCTTCAACTGTAAGAATATAAATAATTAAACTCCAAATCAGAAAACACTCAGTGGTGTCCAAAAAGCGTGGTACAGATGATCAATTACTTGTTTATAGGAAGGCTAAATGGAGCCTAATCGGTACTACTTTAATCTGCATCGGGGAGTAAAATTCTGTGCCCTTTATCGCCTCCTGTTCGGCTGGCTCACATGTCTGCCAGCCGGCAGCTCCTGCGACCCCCCGCGCGCGTAAACGCTCCGGAACACGCAGAATTGAGAAAAACAAGTCAAAACAGCGGAGCAGCTGCTTTTGTGAAAAAAAATAAAAAAGTAACAGATTTATTACACACACTTTTTTGTGTTACGTTTAAAACGTTGTTATTTGTAAACCCTTTGGCGTGTGTCATGAATATCAATGAGTGAAGTTTTTTGGATTTATCTTGAGGCAGTCAAATTGATGTTTTCCCAATTTAATTCATCATTATCGAAATGTTTGAATTATGAGATATGTCGATTTTCCACGATAAATGATGATAGTCATTTGTTTATCTCATCATTATAAAAATGTGTGCAGCATGTAAACTTTGTAGATTTTTGTAGACCAAAATGTAGACATTATAAACCTAATCTTTGCAGATTTTCTAAAATAAAGTGAAGAAAGGATGCGTGTACTGTTTTCATAAAGTGTATTTCTAGTTGCGTTATTTTATATGCATGTTACTAAATTATATATGTCTAAATCTCTGTTTAGTTTTATTGCTGTTAGTCATCGGGAGGAGTCGGGAGTAAATATGACCTCACAGATGGTGACTATTGCCTTTATGGCATCTTCCTCTTTTTGGCTACCTGTTCCATCAGCAGCTCCTCTGGCTGTTTGTAATTGTGTGTGCGTGCGTGTGTGTGTGTGCGTGCGTGTGTGTGTGTGTGTGTGTGTGTGTGTGTGTGTGTTTGTGTGAGTGTGTTTTACGGTCTGCCTATGTACCGCTGATGCTAGACAGATGTGGACCTCTTGGCAGTAACGGCACAAGAAGCTCCATCCCCCTCCTCCTTCTGTGTCTCCCTGCCAAGAGTCTGCCTCAAGAGCCACATTACAGTCGGCGGCAGAGGCGGGAGAGGCAGGAAGGGAGCAGCCTGAAGGCCAAGCAAGCAGGCAGCCTCGGGGAGCTCGAGACACAGAGTTGTGTGTGGAGATGTGCGGCATCCGCCAAAGCATAACGTGAAGGAGGGAGACTTGACTCGGAGGGTTAGGCTGTTCATGCCAGAGGGCAATATCAAAGCATGCTGGGTCACCGAGTTAAAATGGACAGAGGCAGAGAAGATCAAGGTTCAAGAAGTGTGAGTGAATTCACAGACAGTGGCTCCCTTGTGAGTTGATGCTCCCATCGTGCACATCAGCGCCTCTTTAAAGAGACGTTTTAGCAAGTGGCCTCCCTTAAAAATATGAAAAAAAAGCATCCAGCGCCTAGATGGTGCCCAGTGGAGCTTGATTTCCTGCAAGTGACTGACTACCGTGACCATGACTGTCATCAGCAAAGCAAAAAATGGGCCTGGGTGTGCCGACTTCACTTGTCCGTTTTCAAGGCTGCTCACCAAACTTTCCCTCCACACTTGTGCTGCAATCACGATAGCTTGACTCGCTGACATGTACATTAATTACCAGAACCACAAGGATTAATATTCCCTCCATTAAGCAGCTCATTTGCATGTTTATTGAGTGGGCGGTTGTGCAGCGCCTCCACCTATGGTATCGTTTTCTCCCAGAGTTGGCTCTGCTCATTTAATCATTTGTTTTTCAAATGCTCGCTTCAGGCTGCTTCTCTTTTTGCCTCCTTGTGGTTTTTTTTTTTGCTCTGTTTGTTGTTTGTCTCACGTCTTCCCCCGCACCGCCCTTTGAATCTTTAAATCTGGCTCGGTCTCAGAGGTATCAGCTGTGAAAACAAGGTCACGTCTCAGCGTTACTTGTCCAAGCGGCCTGTTCAATATGAGTCAGGTATCCATGCATGCAAACAGCCTGCCGCGAGACCTCCATAAATAGATCAGAGCTGGGTCTTTCACATGGCTTTATTTTAATGGCCCGGGGGGGACTGGCTTAGTAGATGAGAGCACCAAGTTTGGCAAAGCATATAGGATTTATTGTTATTCAAGAATGGGGTTAAAGTGTTAGCGTTGCGAGTGTGTGAGCCTGTGGAAAAAAAATGCATTCAGAACAGCGTGGCAGCAAATCGCCAGCGAGTCCTGCAGCAAAATAGTAATCTTCACGCTTCTCCCCTGCTGATGTTGACTTGCGGAAGTGCGTCTCTGGAGAAGCGCGAGGAAAGAGGAGACATGATACTGCAGTCAGGTAGCGTTTAGGATTAGGTCCCCGCAATTACCCCCCCCCCCTTGGCCCCCACCCCGCAGGCACCCGCAACCATCTGTTTACCCGATTGATCCATTGAATCATCGATCACAATGGGCAGCACTGTGCATTTAGCTGATTAGCATGGGCCACTTATCCTGTTAGGGAGGGAAGAGTAGAAAGGAAGAAGAATGGAAGTAAAAAAGATGGTCATGGGGGATGACATTATCTCTACTGAATGTGGCCTTTGTTAGTTCCTTAAGGGAACCAAATCCCGTTAAAGATTTAAAACTGGTGACCAAAAAGCGATTTGACAAGCATTTCCGTTGCATGATCAGCAGCGGTAATTGTTAATCATGTGGAAACTCGTCATGTAATGTACCGTATGTTCCCAATAAATGACACCCAGAAAAAGCATCCAGTTTGGTGCGAATGCGAGTGGACTTTCTTTCTTCATCACTCCACCTCATCCTTTTCCTGAGTCCGGTCTGCTGGAGGACTGAGATTAAAGCGCCGGACTGAATGGATGAGCGCTGCTCACTCGCCCCTCTCATTCCCTCACTCCGGGTGATAGCAGTTTTAATTAAGGTGGGGTGGGGCGTAGACGTGGGGTGGTTACACTGGGAATGATGGAGGGATTTATCAGCCTCCCTTCCCATTCGTCGCTTATCCCAGAGCGTTACACCACCCTTTCCAGATAAGGCCGCTAATAGAAATGAGCGCTATATGCAGACATATGCACATTTTCACAGATAATGAATGAAGATAAGGCGATGGCTGCTTTGTGCGGAGATGTCTGGATCTGACTGGATGTGGGCGCGCACTCACACTCAAACGCAGAGAATGAAATGAAACGTTGCAATTAAATCCACGCGTGCAGAAAGTTTTGTGAATATTAATTCATGCAAAAGAGACACAGCCACGCCTGTGCACTAAATGTGAAAGGACAATTAATTCAGGACAGGTTGTTCAGAGCTCGAGGTTTGCCAAATGGTGATCATGTTCATGGTGTTATGATACAACTCCAGGAAAATGACTGTCGGGCTTTGTCATGCCCACAAGTGACACAAAAGTCAACACGGATGTCGTTTTGGAACTAATGGCGCTGATACACACACAAATGCAAACTAAGCTCTTGTGCGTGACTGACAGAGGTTTCCAAGGGAGGGGCTCAGTGTCTGCAGCGTGTCTTCACTGGCATTGTTTGTTTCTCACCTATACAATCTGACATTGCTCTCTTCCATCTTCTCCCGACTTTCTTATCAATCTCCCCGCGTTTTTTTTTTTTTTTGTCTTAACCCATCTCTTATCAAAAGTACACTCTCCCTTTCTCCCTCCTCATCCTTCCCTTTGGTTTAAATCAGAAAGCCCAAGACGAAAGTGTCAGTGTTGCAGGATGCCCCCAGCACATTGCTTCACACACGCATACCAAAAATAGGGCCAAAATTTGATCATTTTTCAAGTCAGCAAAGGCTTGTCAGATGTGACAGATTGTGTCTAAAAATTATCCTGAGTGATTACCCTTTGGTGTGAGGTGTGTTAAGAGTGATTTTTTTCCCTCCTCTCCAATCTGCTCTAGAAAGAGTCGGCCCAACAATCATAAATGCTGAAGCCCTTCATCATTTCGGAACACAAATTCTGATTTGCCATGAACTCCGTGAAACAGAACAAAAGCCGAATACGAAGAAGCCTGACGCTTGCGCTGTTGCCAGCCACATTTAAAGGAGCAACTGCTTGTGTTGAGTGTTTGTATAATATTTCTCAAAAGGCATAACAATAAGAAGGATAAGCGTTTGCAACCACAATGTACAGTTTTTACAAGATAAGATCACGGGTGAAGCTTCTCCCTGACCCTTTTTTTTTTCCTTTTTGGATGTCACCAGGCTGCCTCTTACAGGTTTCTTGGGACTCAGGGAGATATTGTTTGGTTTTTTTTTTTGTGCTGTGTTGGTCATCTCCAGTCCACCACACCCGACGCATATTTCCCTCATCACATTTGGGGTCTTTTTGAACAGTGATTAAGATGTTAAAAATGGGAATATGTGTAACCTGCTGTAATCTACGGAAGGCTTGGCGCACCTCTGCACATATTTGCTTTGTATGCTCCCCACTTATGAGTGTGGGTGTGCACTCTTGTGTGTGTGGGTGTGAGTGTGCATGTGTCCATCTTTCAACTTTCCAATCATCATGAGACTGAGAGCTACTTGGTGGGCAGCTTTCCCAAAAGGCTCAAATCTTCTCCGCCAGGAAAACGTGTACAATAGTACACGTGGGCGTCTCTCCTCAAAGGAAGTCATTGCAGCGCTTTCAAATGTCAAAGAATCTTAAGTGTGCCTTTTAAGCACAATAGGAGGTGGAAATGTCAACGCTTGAAGGGTCTATTACACTTCAAGCCTGTGGTGCACCTTTTTCGCTTCCTTTATTGTTGTTTTCACCGTTTTTTTTTTTTGTTTTGTTTTTGTTTTTTTCAAACAACATGCAAGAATAGCAACCCATTTATGTAAAGAAAAGCCATAGCTCACTCTTGGTTACCGTAGAGTTTAGAGAGCAGTTTCTCTTGTGTAGCCAATAAACACTAGTCATATAGTATCGCTTTAAATTGAAGCCCACACTATTTGCATCCCAAATTTATAGAACCTGAGCAGCTGCACACAGGTATGAACGAAACCTTCAGCCACCTGTGGCTCTTATCTTGGAGAAGACCTATCAGGCTGGCTCCAGCAAAAACTAATGATGTCTGCAATTGTATGGCAAGGCAAAAGTAATAAAAGATGCATTGTACACAAAGATTCAAGCCATCGGAGTGGGGTGGGCGCAAATGTGGAATAACTCGATGCATGTTTCTTTTGTATGTGCTTTGACGTCTTTGGCGTGTTTTGGGGAGATAACACGGCAGAAGAGCTGCGTGTGGCTGAGAAGAGAAAGGCCACTTTGTTGTTGCGTTCGTTTCTCATGACGGAGTTGGGGTGACCACCATCCCCCCCATGCCCCAGAGCCCCGCTAGACAGGCCGTCTGCGTGTCACTTCCTGTCGAAGCCTGCCGAGCAACGCCATTGGCAGGCTATTGTTCCTGGGAGAGCGTGATAGGATCGGAGAATGTGTTGTAATGTTTGCAGATTGCCTTGCTGGCGCAACAATTATAGTTGCAGAACGCTCCCCAAGGGGGAATGGGCCGATAAGAGCCTGGGTGTGGAAGGGGCTGAGTGTGTGTGTGTGTGTGTGTGTGTGTGTGTGTGTGTGTGTGTGTGTGTGTGTGTGTGCGTGTGTGTGCGTGTGTGTGCGTGTGTGTGTGTGTGTGTGTGTGTGTGTGCATGTGTGTGAAAGAGAGAAAGAGAGCAGCAAGTACGGTTCTGTGACGATGTTGTATTGTTTTATTAACCGCTGGTGTTGAGAATCCACAATGGAGAAGTTTTTCCAATTTCCTCCAAAGTAACGGCCTAAATTGCTTTCTTTGTTTTACTGTTCATCTGTTGCACCATATCTTTATCGAGAAGAAACAAGATAATGAGAATTGCGTTTCTAATCCATTTATGCAAAGGACACAGAGAAATTGCTCTCATATACTGTCATAATATCGACCTAATCAACAGTTCCATTGTTCGCTATCTGTTTTTCACGAGTGCTTCTCTGTCTTCTTTTAGCAGCAAGCGAGTGCAGGGGTATCTTTGATGCCAGCGAGGCCGGGTACATCACCTCCCCCGGATACCCACTTGAATACCCGCCTCACCAGCACTGCCAGTGGGTCATCACAGCG